TATATATATATATATATATATATATAATATTTGTTTAAATAATTTTTAATTGAACAAACAAGATTAAATTTATTCTCAATTTCTATTTGACATAATTAGAATTAATTGTTATTGATAAAATATGTAATAAACAATAATGTGGTAATACCAGATGATTAATATAAGACACTTATTTACGTCATATCTTTTATCTCTATTACATAATAATAAATTCGTGGAATAATGTGAGACTATTATTCTTATTATTATTATTATTATTATTATTATTATTATTATTAGTATACTTATGTTAACATTTATAATGACGTAATAGTCTAATAATAATGAAGTTTATAAATATGATTGATCGAGAATAAAATCATCATTTCATTAGTTTGTTTCTATCAACAGCAACAACAACTAACAATTATCTTGCGTTAATGATATTAAACAATTTATTGTTATAAATATTTTTTATATCGATCTTCGAATATATATTTTTTAATAAATTATTATTTCACGTAAGTATATTGAATTATTCTATGGGAATATTAAAACGTATAATAAAATCATGTTTTTTAAATACATTTTGTTATGTTTAAATTACATCATGTTTAAAATATCTACATTATGTTAAGATTATTTCGTGTCCTTAACACGTGTTTCGTGCCACGTGTACCACCAGTGGTACACGATAAACTTGTTCTTCAGGCCACGTGTACCACCAATGGTATACTTACAATTAAACATATTTATTTAATGCACTGAAAATATATATGTTTATAACAAATGTAATTCTGTAAAAAAGTATTGCTATTAAAATATTGATGCATTATACAAAATGCAGTATAGAACAAACGACCTAAGTTTGTTTAATTGTTATATTTACAATAATTAATAATAACATGTAATGTTGTTGATTTTGTTAAAGTAAAATTAAATGGCCTGAGGGACAAGTCAGGTAAAAAGGGGCTTGGCACAGAACGTGTTAAAAATTAAGATTATTATTATTATTATTATTATTAAATAATTTAAATAATTTTTTTCTTCTATTTTTGCAGATACAAAAAAAAATAAAATAAAATAAAATACGTGAAAAAGAAGAGAAAAAAAAATATACAAATTATTTTCTTTCTAACAATAATAAAGTGAAAGTGATAATTATATATTATAATATGCGTTATTTAATAACAATAATTTATACAATATTGATTTGTATAATTTGTGCAACTATCACGATTGGAAGTAGAGATGTTGAAAAAAAAACTGTACCTGCATTTAGAATACCAATGAGAAGTTGTCCACCTGGACAAAAACCTGATGTAAATGGTACATGTAGATTAGTAGTACAAGTATAATCAATTATGATATTATTGTTACATTATGTTTGTATTTTATATATATATGTATATAGTCTTTTTAATTAAATTATCAATTTAATCACAACATATATAACATGTAACACATATGTGTTAATCATTTTTCGATGAATATTTTCCTCTTTGTTTACGATTGAATATGAATCATGTGTTTGAATTATTAGAAAATGAATAAAAAAATAGAAGACACGTGTCATAACTGGAAGTAGGACGTTTGAAAAAAGTGTGTTCGAGTTATGGCAAATAAAAATCAAATAAAAATTGTAAACTTGGCATACTTTTTCAATCATAAATACAATAACAAACTTATACGATTGAAGATAATTTCGTGACAAACAGATATTATTTGCGATTATTATCCATAGATATATATATATATATATATTATTATTATTAAATATATTAATATTAAAAAAAAAAATAAGTAAAATTTTTAATATAACATTAATGGTGTTTTGCATTGTTTCCCTATTAGTCGCCTTTTACGACAAGCAGGGATTACTGGGGTTGATATTCTTACCCACGAGGATTTATTATTATTATTATTATTATTATTATTATTATTTTTATTATTTTTATTATTACACAATGATATATAACAAATCAAATTTTGTTTTTGTCAGACTAAATTAAATGTAATTGTAATTACTCAATTGAATTTGATTTTTTTTCAAACAATTTAAGAAAAGAAAAATTAAAAAAAAAGAAAAAAAGAAAATGAATTATGATTTGTTTAAAAAAATGATTTTTAATCATATTAAGTCCGGAACATATTTGGTTTTTTTTTTTTTTTTTTTTAACAAAGAATAACATATGTAGGAATAATGATACGATGAGTAGTCATTGAACATTATAATATTTATTACTAAAAGCACTAACACTTGTCGATAATAAAAATAATATTTTCAAGGAAGTTTCTATGATCAAAGAAAAAAAAAAAAAGAATTGTAAAAAAAAAAAAACAAAAAACGTGCTAAGAAAAATTATTATCGCGTAATATTTTAATAATTAATTTTAAGGTTATGTTTAAAAGCATGATAACGTTTTAAACAATAAAATAATGTTATAATTTCTTAGGTATAAATACGATGTTTGAACAGTGCAAATGCAAACATTCAAGCAACACAAGTGCATTATTGATTTAAAAATAATTATTTATTTATAAAAAAAAAAAGAAAGTAAAGTTGAAATTTTTTTTTTTTTTTTTCTCTTAAACTTTCTGTGCCTTGTGATCATTCAAGTTTTACGTAAGTATAATGATTGCATTTTAATAACGATAATCAAATGATTTAATTCAATGTTTATCATTTTAAATTATCTGATAAAAAGAAAAAAAGTAAATCCTTTTTTTTTCTTTTTTCTTCTTCTAAACAATTAGGATGCGTTTGCTGTCAATAATTTGCACATTTTTAATGTGTATGATGTTTTCAACAAACATGGTTGAGAGTTACGCAATTGGTTCAAGTGCTGCAGGACCTAGACCAACGATATTTATTATACCAAAACGAAAGTGTCCATCTGGATACAGACATGATCATAATGGTAGATGTCGAATGGTTATTGGAAGATAAATTTATGAAATATTAAAATTATTAATAATGCAAAAATATTATATGTGTGTCAAATTCATTTACATGTAATGTAATAAAGATTATAAATAATATGACGAAACTGGACAATAAATGTACGATTACAAATTGAAGAATTAAAAAGTAATATATTACTAATTATTATTATTCCTATTTGATTTATTATTTATAAGTTAAACGTTTAGGTATAATATTAAACAAAAAGACTAGATTGTAAAAATCCTATAAAAAAATTTCCCTTGTTGTTGACTATTACGACAAACACATTATTATTATTATTTTTATTATTAAATTAAATGATATATAGCATATCAAATTTTTTTTTTTTTATTAGATTGAAATAAACTTAATTTCATGAACTCGATTTATTTTGTCTTCTTTTTAAAGGAAGGAAAACAATTTAGAAAAAAAAAATAGAAATTAAAAGAAATAAAAATGAAATGTAATTTGTTTAAAAATTATTTCTAATCTTATCAGATTCAAAACATATTTTTTGTTTTGCAAAGAATAAAATTTATAGGAATAATAAAATAAAATAATAAAACGATGAATCATTGAAACTTTGGATATTTAATACCAAAACTTCCACGTTTTGGTAATAAGAATATTTTCTAGGAAGTTACTCTAATCAAAAGAAAAGTAATAAAAAACAAAAAAACAAAAACATAAAACGTGTTTCGAAAAATTGCTATCATATGATAAATATCTTATGAATATATTTTAACATTTTTGTTTTTGTCAAAGCACGATAACGTTTTAAATAATAAACAAATGTTACAATTTTTAAGGTATAAATAGGAAGATTGCACAATGCAAAA